CTGTGGCTTGGTAAGAAGAGGAGACAGTGCAATCATGGTATAAGTTTTAATTACTTCTTGTTATTGTATGTTACAGTGTGTTCACATAAAGGCAGAAGGCTGAGTTACATGATCTTTCTAGATCCCCAGCCTGCTTTCTGCATGAAAAAGGTGTGCAGGTACCCAAACCAGTTTAGTTTGTGGTGGTCCAGTTGACTGCTCTGGTGTAGAACTAACCTGGAGGGAGGAGCATGAACTTGTGCAGTAACAACAGCTTCACAGTCCTGCTGATGTCTCCAATGCCATAGCTAAATCTAGTGGAGCTGCTCTTAAAAATTAGGTGGGAGATGTCTGGAGTGGGTGAAATGGGAATCATGGAAAAAAGCAGTGAGTCTGGTAGGACTGAGGGCTGTATACGGTGCTGCAGGTGAAGTATTTGCTGATCAGAACCCCACTGACCTGCAGGACAGGCACAAGGACATAAAGGTATCAAGGTACAGCTGTCTTTAGGACAGGTGCATTCCCATAGGAAGCTGTATCTTCAGTGCTGGCCCCATTATTGTGGGTTCTGGCATTTGCCATGATTCCAAGGCTGGCCCTGCCTCTGTCCTCGTGCCTGTTATAGACTTGTCTGGTGCCGTGGGTGGTTTCACACCGCTGACTTCTTGGGCTCAGACCACATGTCTCTGCTGTATCTTGTCTGCATGAGTTCTGCTGGATGTTGTACTGGCTTCCTGGTACCGTTTTGATCTTAGATTAGAAGCTTTTTTTAACTAAATATCCTCTCAATCAATTCTTTCCATCTGTGGCAAAACAGCTGTGTAAGTTGACAGGAGCCGGGAAACAGCAGCTTCACAGCTAATAACGTGTGCTCCCGGTGTTTCCCGCTGTGTTGTAGCAGGAGGTTGTCCATCTGAAGCCGCTGTGCTGCCGCACCACTCCATTCCCTGCATCCCTGCTATTAAACCAGCATCCACAAGGGCTGTGCTCTTGAATGATCAACCTGATCTCAGCACCCAGGGACTCTCTGTAATCCTTACAGCCTTTTCACATGACGTCAGTATGTTACAGGACCTGTGTCATTTGCAACATTTTATGTAACTCTCGATAAAGAGAGTTGGTGTTTGGGAGCAGTGATGGCTGATCTGCTGGGGAGCAGGCTCTTGAAAGGAAATATGGGCAGTACAGTGCTCTTTTATTTCACAGTTACAAGAGCACCAGGAGCATCCCACGTGGAAACTGAAGGTATTTAGTCAGGTTCTACCTCATATGCAGGAAGTCCTATCAGGATGGGGCATAGAGGGTGAGAGAATGATGATAGCCATGGGCAGGTGCTCATTTTGAATAAATGCAGGTAACATCTCTGCTGTGCTAATGCTGATTTTGTAGTTGGTCTTTGTAAGGTCAGAGCCAATGTCATAGTAGAAATTTGAGCTGTGCTCTCTGGGCTGCAGCCACCCTGAATGTAATGCAGTTGTGTTCCTGTTGTTCTCTGGCTAAAAATCTGCATGTTGACAGTTTATTTCCCAGCCCTATTTTTATTTTGGGATTTAGGTGGGGTTTTTTTCCCCTCGCTGTGACTTGTCAGTGTTTTGAGGCTACTCTCCTGATGCTGGTCTCAGCACTTTGTACTCAGATGCTCTTTCTCTCTGGATGCTCAAGGATGGTATAATGGATTTGTTCTTTCACCATACCCTCCTGCTCCTCATAACCCACTTAGTAAAGAGTTGGTACCACCGGGTACCAACCGGGTAGCAGTGCTACAGTCATAAGGAGCAAGCTGGGAAATGCAGTGTGGTCTGGCCAAAAGATTAAGGACAACTCCTAGCTTTCATCAGGAGGGTTGGAGTTTGCTTTGTGTTGTCATCCTCCTCCTCATTTTATTTCAGGCTCTTCACCAAAGTAAAGCAAGAAAGTCCTAGGGGATGGTGAGACTCTTTTTCCCTATTTTGAGTGGTTTAGGTTTTGTAAAAAGGAAAAGAACTACCGAAGTCCCACTGAAATAACAGCGGAATGAGAATTGGGACTCTGGGTTTAGTTCCCAGGTTTGTCACCAATTTACTGTCTCTGTCACTGTGAATTGCACTTAAAAATGGTGCAGTATTTTTATCTGGAATCCAGCTGTCCAGAATCTGACCCTTCTGAGGCCTGGCACCCATGTGTTTCTAAACACTATCCCACTTTCTAGCCACTTATATATATGTATGGTAAAAGCCTAAAATTTGGCAGCCAGGTCAAAATGTGGGAGACATCCAAAGCTAGTTAATACCAGGGAAAATCACTTCTGTTGGCTTTCAGTCTTCCAGCCTAAATTATTCCATCAGAAATTAATTTTGTTTACTGTACTTGTCTCATTAATAGTTGGCTCTCTACCTCAGTTTACACAGCTGTAATGAGTAATCATGAGTTTCCTTTCTAGGTACAGCTCAGAAATGAGCACCACAGACATGATTTTGCATGGTCAGAGTTACATATTCATCTTGGAGAGATTCCCCATTCTGCCAAAATTGGTGTTCATGGGAGCCTAGCTATAACTGAGTTCCTCTAGGGATGTGCTAGAGGTGGTAGCATAAAGGAGGGTTCCTATTGCCAGGGCTTTACATTGCTTAAAGTTTGGTGTTTGCTGTGAGCTGTTCAGGCCAGAAGTCCCACCAGTCTGACTGCACCACCATTAGATCATACCTTGCAGTAAAAGCAGTCCTGTGTTGTGGGTGATAAATCCTTACCCAAAGCAAAGGGTCTGGAACTAGATGATCTTTAAGGTCCCTTTCAAACCAAACCATTCTGTGGTTCTCTGTCAAACGAGTGCCTGGTGGGACTGCCTGAGGCAGTGGGATGTTGTCTGTATCCCTCCTTGGTGTTCCTTGCTTTGAAAATACCAACCCAGTATTTTCTAGCAGTGTCCATCCCCACCTGCTCTGCTCTGCCACGGCTCCCGTGGAGTTGTGGGAGCAGCAATGTCCCTGTTATAGGTGTGAGCTCGAGCACTGCTTGCGTGGCCAAGGTGGCTGGAGTGGAGACAGGCTGTGCTGTGCCCTCGTGCAGAGAACATAATTTTCCCCCGTGAATCACAGAGCTGTTTCATCCCAACAGGGACCTGCACCTGGTGTTGCAGGTGAAGTGGTGATCCCTTCTGCCTTTGACGCGCACATGCTCACTTGGCTTTGGTGTGGGAAGAATTATTGCTCTTGCACTGCCTTCAGTCAGAGGGTTCAATTTTTAGGTTTTTCCTCCTTTCCTTCCTTAGTTCTTGGCTCTGCAGTGGGGGAGGATTGCAGTAGTAGTATAAAATAACAGCCTGTATGAGAAGAAAGCTGAATTTTCAGAAAACATTACAACAGTCCAGTTTTGGAGATCTGACTTGGACACTTAGCACGGTCAGGTTTGGGAGCTCTTGCTTATGCAAAGCAGCAGGAGTGGGTTGTTTCCATTTCCCATTTTGTTGCCAACAGGGCTGTCTTTGTCCAACTGTGCCCTGGTGTACCCTAGCAGAGGCTAACTGCCCCCGGAGAAGAGCTGCTGTCAGAATACTTTAAAGTCGGTCAGACTGGCTCCTGCTTCGTGAGGTTTATCAGCAAAGATTTTCAGTGCCTCCAGTGGGAGGCTATTTTTATTCTATCCAGGGGCTACCTTCTGCTCTGAGGTCTTTTTCACATTTTTTTTGGAATAGAGAAACCTGCCTCTTTTAGGACAACCTTAAATATCTTCATCTTTTCCAGTCTGAAAAACTAGATAGTTTTTTAGTCAAGGTAAAAGTTTTTGGCATTTCTGTGATGTTCAAGATTTCTTTTTTTTTTTTTTTTTACTGTATAAGAGGCACACTGCCATAGACATGAGAATGCCCTGTGTTTTCCCTTGAGCAGGCCTGACGGCAAGTGAAGTACCTAACGGTTCATCCTTCGTGCTCTGATCAGTGCTATGACTGTTGCAAAAAATCCACATTGTGTTTCATTGCACCATGTAATCAAGATTGGAAGAGCTCTCAAGAAATGATCTGGTTCATTTTCCTGCCCTATGGCAAGATCAGTCATACCTGTGTCTTTCCTGACAGATGCTGGTCTCTGTTCTTTTAAAGGCCTCTGCAGCTTCTCCAGGCAGCATGTTTCAGTGCCTCAGAATCCTTACCAGTAAAAGTCTCCCCACCTTGTATTTAACCGGAATCATCTCTATTGCAGTTTAAACTTGTCACTTCTTGTCCTGTCCATTTGAATTCAAAGAACAGGTCATTCCTTTTCGCAGCAATGTTAAATATTTGAAGACTATTCATGTGCTTCTCTCTTCTTAATGTTAAATAACCCGTATTTGTTAAATCATCTCTTCTTCATGGTGGATTTAAATCTTCTATGTAAACCTTAATTGGCCTGTCTTCTCAAAAATACTCTGTGACGATTCCAGTCATTAACTAATCCACAAACAGTTTAAACCCTTTGATCAGCATTTTATTTATATACTTTAGTAGCAGCTTTCTGTGCCAGCCAAACTGCCTATTTTTATGTCACTGTCTCCAGCTGACTTGTGCTGGTGTGCAAACAAAGTATCCACAGGGTTGTCTGTTGCTCCCTAACTGCAATTCCTTCCAAAGGGAAGGTTGAGTACCTGGCATGATGTGAGGCATGGTGTGGTTTGTGCCTTGGTTCTGTGGGACAGCACACTGTGAAGGTTGTGCCTTCAAATAGAAAGCGAGCCCAAAGAAAGGCTAACCAATCATGGAGTCGAGGGTGTCTGCAGCCATCCAAAATATACATTGATGGATGCAGGAATTTGGAAATGGACACGTGCTCAGACAGGTGGTAGGCTGGGAAATGTCACTTGGTATTAGGACCTTCTGATGTGGCTGTATTTGAATAGTCAGGTCATGCTTGGAGGTCAACTACTATACTGTGATTTGGATGCCCTTGATGTGTATGTTTTCGGCTCCAAGGAAAAGTCAAGGAAATTTACACTTTAGCAGTACATATGGGGAGGGCAGAAGGCAGGTCATACTCCCTTTCAGTAATTTTCTCTGGATTTCTCTGTTGTAGGTGAGTGTTTTAACCACCTTGGAGCGGCGATTCAACCTTCAGAGTGCTGACGTGGGCGTCATTGCCAGCAGCTTCGAGATTGGCAACCTGGCCCTCATCCTCTTCGTGAGCTACTTCGGAGCCCGAGGACACCGGCCACGCTTAATAGGATGTGGAGGGATAGTCATGGCCTTGGGTGCCCTCCTTTCCGCGTTGCCTGAATTTCTGACCCACCAGTACGAATATGAGTCAGGAGAAATACGCTGGGGGGCTGAAGGGAGGGATGTGTGTGCTGTCAACGGGTCCTCCAGCGATGAGGGACCAGACCCGGACCTTATCTGCAGGAATAGAACTGCTACCAACATGATGTACTTGCTGCTCATTGGAGCACAGGTCCTCCTGGGCATTGGTGCTACCCCTGTCCAGCCCCTGGGAGTTTCCTACATCGACGACCACGTGAGGCGGAAAGATTCCTCCCTGTACATAGGTAAGGCTCTCTGAGCTTCTCACTGAGGGCTTTCCCTCTTGTTTGCTGTTTGATGCCAGTGGAAGGGATGCCTCAAGGTCTCTTCTCCGTGTGCTGCTGTGCTTGTGAAGGCAACTTGGCATAGGGCCCTATATCAAGCAGCAGGAAAATACACTGATGTTTGCTCATTTTGTAGCAATGGTAAAGGTTGATGGCCATGGTGATTATTACTGGATGGTTAGGAAGATGCTTACTCCTGCTGTTGTGATTGCCCAGATTGCTTTAAATTCAGATATTGGTGACTTAACTGTTGAGTTTTGGCTGAAAAATTTTCAAGTGGTATGTGTGATGATGATTGAGGTGGGGTTTTTTCCCCCCCAAGATACCCTAGTTCTGTTCCTGTTCCAAAGCACGTGTCTGAGTGGTCACTGCAATATAAGGAGACTGAGAGAACACGCATGTCTTGCCACTCCCACTGTCACATTTTAGCAAGGAAGTGCCTGTTAAGGATCGGGTGCTGTGACCCAGGATGCTGTGGCAGGACCCTTGATAATGTGATCCCTGTAATGGAATGGGATGCGGAAGCTGATGAGGTCTATTTTGAGATGCAATGAGCCTGAAATAGTTTCTGGTGATCACATTGCAAAATTCTTTCAGATGGTTAAGCTATGAAATTTGGCTTTGGTTACCCAGTGAAACATCTCTGTTATTGGGGTAAAGTGCTTGTGGGTTTCAGCAGTTGTTCCCCCTCCCAGCAGGTTTAAAGAGGATGCTGTGAGTGAAGTTGTTCTTTAAAAAAACCTGCCAGCTTGGCTCATTCTTCTTTCTGCAGGACTTGTCAGTAGATAAATTGCTCCAATGCAACAAATCCGTGAAGTGTGTCCTGCCATTAATGAGACCCTTCTGCACTTGTTAACATAGTTTCTAGTAACCAAAACTGTGCACTTGTCCCATCATCACTGTCTTGACGTGACTTTCGACTTAATGGATGATCCCATTATTCTTTGGGTTTTTTCCAAAGACATTTGTAGCAAATTCCCAAGTGTAACTGAATGCAGCTGGGAGTGGCCATCGACAGCAAAACTGAACACTCCTGTTGACTTTGGGTGAAGTTCAGTGTCTTGGGATAGGGCAGAAGCCTATTGGAAAGCCTATTGCTATGGTATTCCTGGATGTATTGCTACTTCACTTCAAGAGGTTCATCTCCCTATTCAAAGTGTGTCCATGTTTTTCTGTAACTGGCCATAAAATCATAGTATTTCACCATTGAGCCTCATCCTTGGATCATTATTCACCTTCACTTGGTTCTGTAAGTGCTCACGAGGGATCCACTGGATAAAAAAAGGTGATCTATAAAATACAAGAACCCAAAGGTGAATAATGAGACTAAATTCACTGGAGCAACTCTGCCAACACCATAAATGATGAGCTGGAATTAAGAGTGATTCTAAGATTATCTGTCTAAAGATTATCTATTATAAATAACTATATAGAGAAGTAGCAACTTCTTTCAGTCTGTTCCATGGGCATTTTTAAGCAATACTTCATGTCTGAGAACAGACTGCAGGAGGGGGCATGAGAGGAGGATTAGGGAGAGTGATTCTTTTTGTTCCTGAGATACAAGATTCATCTTGTATGCTAAAATAACATCTTTAAAGTTGGCAGTTCAACTGTAGCTGGGAAAATACTGCCAGAAAATGATTTCTGCTTACTATATGCTGCTTTATTATTTTTCCTGCAGAGATATGTTTCTGATCATGTTCCTTTCTACAGGTAGAGTTTAAAAAAAAAAAAAAAGAAAACAAGCATTTTTGGGCTGTTTGCTTTCTGGCTTTAGCTATCAAAATCATAATCTGAATTTCTACATATGAATTATGGATTGCATAAGAGTGGATGTCTGTGCACACTCAACCAGCAATGAGGTTTAATATCTGCCCTGTCCTAACCTATCTGTCACAAGTAGAGTTTCAGATACTGGATGATTAATTCTTACATCAACCTACAGTCAATTTGGCTAGTGAAAATAAAAGCTAACAGGAAAAAATCTATTCCACAAATGAATATAAATGGAGAAGAAAGTAATGGAAATGTCATCTTATGTTTGTGGATACTTGAGAGGAGGTCAAATTCCTCAGTTTAAGTGTTGTTTGAGAATTATTTGATCAGATTTGTCTTTAACTGATTATTTTTGTTGGTGTCATCAATGCAGTTTTCAGTGGCCTTAGCAGAAAGCTGGCTGAGCATCTTACCCACTTCATTCTGCTCTGTTTCGCAGAGGAAGTAACTGCAGAGTGAATACTGTCACTGTGCTATATTTATATCAGTTTGCTTTCTCATAATAGCACACCCACTCAGTGGGGGCTACACTGTGTGTGACCAGATAAAATGTTTTTGAGTAAGTTCCCGCAGTTGAAATTAGGAGCAAATCTGGCATAGATTGTTCTCTCGGGATAAAAACTTATTAGTAGCAGTGATAATAGTCTGACTGAACTTTCTGTAATGGCTGGCTGTGGCTGAGAAATGATCAGATTGACCAGTTCTTGCTGTCTTTAGTTCACTGCTTATATCGAGTACGTAGGTGCTGCATTGGGCTGTATTGTGGCTGGGAGGAAGAAACTTGACAGCTAAGGACTTGTCATTGTTCACCTCGACAACAAAAACCCTTGTGTCCCAAGGCAGTGAATTAGAAATAACTTTGTGCAGTGAGAGGGCTTTTTTTCCTCCTTCTGAGTTGTACAGGAGTTAAGTGGAGTAACAGTATCTAATACAGTCACAGTGAAATGACAACACAGGAAGACTCCTGGTTATTAAAAAAAAATCCAAACCCCAAGAACACTGACCCCAAAACCACCTTCTTTTTGTATTAATCCGTGTGCAGAGTAATGCAGATGTGACACCACATGGAATTTAAAGTTGTGTTTTGACTTTAATGGTTAATGCAAGTAGTAGCATCTGTGGAATATAATATTTTTCTGGCTATGAAGTCCATTAAATCTGTCATGTGGTTTCTCTGCAGTGACAAGCACACAGGAGGTTGTGGGTAGTGCACCTCTCTTGTGCATCCTTTGAGGCAGAGGTTGCTTACTTAGGCTTATGTTCTGCCAAGGAGGTGGAGATTCATAAAGTTTCATAATTAGAGAGATGAGTGAGATATTACAGGAGGATTCCTCTGTGGCATGGGCTGCTGACTTGTAGTTTCATGTTTCTTGAGTTAATAGCAGATTTTTTTTGGTGCCTGCAATATGTTGCTACCAAATCCAAAACATTATCTGTTGCTCTAAGTAACCAGACCTAGGAAAAAGGGCTGCGTGGTGGTAACCCAGGCAAATCGAATCAGAGATGAGTGCACGAAAATACTCACCAAAGGATGTTCTAAAGAGAACGCACTTGTGCTGTAACAGAGTTAGAAAGATTGTGGGACTGTGCTTGCTCTGGCTAATCATAGAATCAGAACAGTTTGGGTTGGAAGGGACCTCAAAGATCATCTAGCTCCAACCCTCCTTGCCATCGGTAGGCACACCTTTCACTAGACCAGGTTGCTGTTGGAAGTTGGGAAGAATGTTCTCATTTGGTGCTGGTTTGATTGTGTCTCTCTGAGTCTGATTTTGCATTTAAGATCTGAACTCCCATCTAGAGGCTTCCAAACAAGCAGATTAATTTTATCTGTGTATTTATTGGCATTTGGCATAAGTAACCTCTTTTAGTGGAGGAATTCATCACTCCTGCAGACTGTGCAGGGATTGTTACTGCTCCATCTTCACAAACATCAACGAAATTTGTGGCATTGTTTATTTTAAAGGAGGAGAAGTATGTTGAAGATTACTTACTACACCCTTCTTTTCTCTACCCACTAATGACTCACTTGACATTTCCCCCTTTAGTTCATTTTCTGCTCAGTCTTGCTGAGTTTTGCTGAAATCAATGAAGACTTTGTCATTAAGAGGGGAATCAGAGGCATAGTGGAGCTGATACAAAGGGGAAAAAAACCTGATCTGACAGTGGTTCTGTGGATTTGCTGCCTCTCAGATGAGCAAGACCTTGCAAATGTTTTCTGGTCACTGGAGTACCTGTGCCGTTCTCGGCAGTGCTTTGGGTGTTTCATTAGAGCCAGAGCAGTGATGCTAATAAGGTTATTAGCAGTCCTGATACAGGCCTTCTGGCCTTCCTGCTGCATTTAACATTTGCTGATAAAAGTTGTTGCATCTTGTCTAGGACATAGTTACCTGTAGAGCAGCATGAGTAGCTTCTGGGAGCCAGTATTTGATCTGGGACCATGAAGGGCTGTATTGCACAGAGGAAGTTGCTATTATTCTGCCTCCTGTTGATGGAGGAAATTGATGTTGGAAGGAGCACTGCCAGATTGTGGGACTCATTCAGCAGAATGCTGTATTGATCTTTAATGTATCAGAGATTCTCTTAAAGTTTGTTGAAGCTGTCTCAGTGTTAACATTGTGGACAAATACTTCACAAGGACCCACCACTTGGGACTCCTCAGAAACTGCTGACTTGGGACTCTTCACTTGGGACCCACCACTTGGGACTTGCAGAAACTGCTGTCACATGAAGAATGACTTAAAGGAAATCCCAGAAAGGGCAAGTCTTGAGTCAAGGAGTAAGTGATGAGGAGTGATGAATGCTCCTGAGTTATTGCTGTGCAAGGGTGTGCCTGAGTGCAGTGCGCTCAGGGGCGGAGAGCTGTCCTTGGCCTGTTTCATGGCAGGGTGGAGGAATGGAAAAATGGGTAACTCAGCTCTGCTGAATGTGCCTGTTTAGCTGCTTTCTTCTATATTATCTCCCAGGCTTCTGTCTGGCCTTTTCCGTGTGTATTTTTGTTTGTCAAATGGTTGTTCCAGCTGTTACCCTTGGTGTAAGAGGACAACTCAACAGGATGGTGTGTCCTTTCCACATCTGCCCAGATGGGACTAACCCTGTAAAGGGGACGGGACCTTGCATTGCAGCCACTGGCTTTGACCTTTGTAGCAGCATGGGGTTACTTGGCATCAAATCTGTAGAAGCACTTC